CCACAGCAATATGTTAAATAAGGCAAAAGAGGAATCCTCTTTGCATCACTTTCCAAACTCTCTGTAGACTGTAATGCTGGATCTTCTTGAATGAAATAAAGAGGGTAGAGGAGCAATTAGGATAAATTTGATCAGTATAAACAGTTCTTCTGGCTAACTGTTGCCCAGAGCTCTCCTTCAAGAGGATCGCTCCACTTTGACGGGGGTCGTATATGATAAAAGCAGAGACCTTGTCTGTCCTGCCACAGCCCCAGCAGCTAGAATAGTGTTGGTTACAAAATAGCAGTTGGGTAAATACTTGTTGAATAAATGACCAGCCAATGATGAAGACTCTTCCTCCTCCGCTTATTTAACATACTAATATGTCCCAGGCATTGGGTTAAAGAGTTTCTGCACATTATCTCATTTAATTCTTAAGTTATTATTCCTGATTTATACACGAGGGCAACGAGGAAGCCCAGACTTAGTGGGGTGAAATCACGTGCCTCTTGCTAGGCTCTGGTAGTAGCAGAGCCAGGATTGAAACCCGGGTCTATTGGACTCGGAGAAACATACCCTTTCCGTTCAACAACTTCAGACAGAAGAGATTTCCCCCACTTTGGGTATTACTTAAGTCTACATTTTAAAAATTCAATTTGTTTTCAAATACAATGAGGTGGCAGCATTTTTTCTAATCCATTTTTGTTGATGAACTCTAGTAAGCTTTCTTTTTCTCTAGTCTTTGAAGACTTGAACTGGATTCGTGCATATAATTACAAGTGTGGCTGAAATGCAACCTGAACATTTTCTGCTTTGATTTGATGAGAAGGAAATAGAGAATACTCTGCATTATTTGATGTATATTAGGAAGCCCAACCATTAGGCAATGTATCTTTAAACCACCTTAATTTCGTAAGTCCCCAATGAATCTGGAAAAGGCAGCAGGTTGAAGATGACCTGTGTGTGGCTGCCGTGTCTGTTATTATTGTGTTTGTTCAAATGGATTTTTATTTTCTAATTTATTTATTTTCTAATTTATTGTTGTTTGCTCCTCCCTCCTACCCAACCCAGATACCAAATATCTAATTTTCTAATGATATCATTATGTCTATGGCAGCTGGTTTTGATAAAGGATTCCAAGTCCAGTAAGGCCAGAAGCAGCACATGCATTTAGAAGAAACAGAAATCTTGTATATATTCTTTTTCCTTTTTTTAGGTATGACATGTGGAAATGATTTTTAGACAGCAATATGATATAATTTAGAACATGTATATAACATTCAGAATTACTCCGTGGATTTTCTGAGTCTTTAAAATAAAATACTTATCAGTATGGGTGTTTTCGAAAGTTCTGGAGGGGACATGGAGAGCATTGCTGAGCACGGCGCCCGGACAGGCCTTCCCTGCCGTCATTCACTCTGTTAGGATCTCTCCTCTGTAGCCACCTCCTTCTCTGTCCATTTACCTTGTCCTTGTTCATGGTCTGTCTTCACCTCTGTTCTCTGTCTGCCTCATCTGTTCCCTTGAGCTCTTCCCAGTCTTGGAACTCCAATGAGAAACTGGAGGGAAAGATTTTTCATCCGTTTAGTGTCTTGTGATGATTACTGGGACAGTGGTTGGAATTCTGAGATTACACGGACATCTTCATTTTTGAAAGACGCTGTGTCTTTTACACGAGTTAAAAGGGTTTTGTGGGTCACTGAATAAAAATTTTTAAATCTATCTCTGGTGCCTCACTTGAAGAATTTAAAAAGCCTCACTAATGAACAGATATTTAATGCTAATTTAAAATGCTCCCATTCAGAAGGGATTTTCAACTCTGAATAATATTGGGACAACTTATTGTATTGTTTAGTTTTTGGTGAGTCCTATAACGAATCCTGTCATATTTAAAGATGGCATTGCACGCACCCATTCTTAATACGATTAAATTATAAATGGAAGTATTTCCATCCTTCACTCCTACTCAAAGCCTGTTTTCTTCTTTTTCCAGTTCCCTGAAAGCTTTCAGCCTGCTGTTTGATTATTGCTGCCACCTACTGTCTGAAAATAAAATTGCAGTGGGCTTGCCTTTTGCAAAAGATTCCCGCTAGAGTGCAGTTTATGGAAAGAACTATTTGAGAGCAACAGTTGTTTTTCTCTGTGCTCTGAAACAATAGCGCTCTGAAGTGCGCACCTGTTGTGGAGAGATTTTGAGTGGCATATATTCCACAAGCAAAAGGTGCAGCTAAGAAAACGGAAAGGGGTTTAATCTCTAGTATAGGACAAACTGCCAGCATGACCTTGGCACGTCCCTCCCCTCATAAAACTGGGCTCAATACTCTGAGAGATCTATTCCAGCTTCCACCTTTCTTTTTCCTGTGTGTACTTTTGGTTATAAAAGCGTAGCCCTCATCCATGATACTCTTTATTTCTTTGGGTTAAGGTTCTCAGCGTGGAACATGTTTTCTTTTAGAGCTGTGTTAAATAGACGTTCATGTTTTCATTGTGTGAATAGGAGCCCTGATGGTTTTCCTTTGCTCAGTTAGCAGAGACAGATCTGGCGACTTTCTGTGGTTAATGCAGCCTTAACCAGAAGAACACTTCCCTGCTTAGTTATTCGCTGGCTGCCTTGGCTCGACTTTGTTCACGTTAAGACTGCAAAGTCAACTGTGCTGCTTACAAACTTCCCAGATTTTTAAAAAAACTCAAATCTAGATTTTAAGATAAAATTACATGATGACAGCATATTTACATGCTTCACTTTTCTTTAGCATTTTGAAATAGAGCACTACTATTTCTGTGGGCTAGAAAGAAATCTGAAGATAGAAAGTTTTCTAGACATGAGAGAGTGAAGGAAGATGGAGTCCACGGTATGTGGTGGAATTTTTTTAAAATGCTGAAGAATGTTAGAATTTGGCCAAACCTTTCCTCGAAGATCCTGTTATCTTAAACTGACTTTGTAAAGAATATTTTCTGTGTGTGTGTGAGGAAGATTGGCCCTGAGCTAACATCTGTGCCTGTCTCCCTCTATGTTCTGTGGGATGCTGCCACAGTGTGGCTTGACAAGCGGTGCTAGGTCTGTTCCCAGGATCCGAACCTGCGAACCCCGGGCCGCCAAAGCAGAGTGGGCAAACTTAACCACTATGCCACTGGGCTGGCCCCTGTAAAGAATATTTTATGTGTAGCATTTTAACATGTTTTTGATTACTGCTGTTTCTCTTAGTCATCTTGTAAGTAAGTTATTCATCTGTTATAATTCTGTAGATGGTTAAAGTCAAGTCAAGTGGACATAAGCCTTACCTTCAACGAGACCTGACTTAATTATTAACAGATCTTTTATAGAATGGAGTCCTCGAACCCTGGTGGATTTGGACCTGCTGTCGTTAATTCTGTTTAGGTAGCATCCCTGTTCGGATGGGCGTGAATCCTAATTCAGTACCGTTCGCTTTGCCGCTATCGTTTGCTTACAGGCCTTCAGACAGGTTTCAGTCATTTTGTTCAAGCCATCCTGACCGAATCTTGCAAGTGAAATCTTGAGACTCGCAGCCTCAAGTGGCTGGCTTACTGCTAAATATAGAGCCCTTATTGAGTTCCCTTGAACTACTAATTTTGTTAGCCTATTGAAAATCAGTTACTATTACTATAGTCGGGTTTATCTCGCACAATTCCTTATAAGCTTTAGCAGACAGATCATAATTTCATTATCCTTTTGCTACTGAAAACTTTCTTTTCTAATACTTGACAGTTTCATTAAACATTACTATCAGATTTCTGTTTATTATCTGATTATTCCTCATATTTCTTCTGTACTGACTGCTGGATGAAGGCGTGTGACGGCTTTAGTGTAGTTGTGAAGGGCCAAGCCTCTGAAGTCAACGTTCCTGAGTCTGAGTCCCGGCTTTACGTTGCTCTGTGACCTTGGACAAATTATTTATCTGCTGTGAACTTATAGTTTCCTAATACACAAAAGGGAGATGATAATAGGAACTACCTAATAGGGTTGTTGTGATGGTTAAATAGAGATAGATAATCCATTTCATTATTTATTTAGTTAAAATAAGTTCTAAGGTATTTCGTTTATTTTTTGACTCCTGCAAATGTTCCTGGGTTTGTCTTCGTCTTTCCAGGGCTGGGGAAAGCGTAGGATGTGTGCGTATTCTCGTGTGCCTGATTATGTATCCGCGTATTCATAGCTTCTTGATTGTCTCGTAGCCCCAACCTTAGGCTGGCTATTGAGGAGCAGGGACTCAAAGAGAGGCTGGCGCATGACCTTCACTTTCAGGGCTTATGGTCCTGAAGCCATGGGTGGTTTACTGGAGACGCTTCGCCTGACCCCCTCTCTTCCCTCACTTCCCAGGCGAGGTCAGACCTTGCAGGAACCTGCTCCCATGGCACTCTGACTTTGTAATGAAATAATCTTTTAAACCTTTTTGTATAGTGCCTTTCTCTTCCTACTCAATTGTATGCTCTATGATGCCGGAAAACTGTCTTTTTCTTTCTGGATTTTCTAGTTCCTAGCACGCGTCCTGCACATAGGTGTATGGCAAATATTTGTTAAATGATTAAATGAGCTCTCATTTTAGAGGTATATGTGACATATCCCAAGTCACACATTTTCTGAAGCAATTATGAGCAGAACTCACGTTTCCCATCTCCTACACCATAGTACGCTCCACTCTTTCTACCACACTGTGAAAATTTAAGATCTAGACAGGGATTAATCTACAATATCTACAAATAACTGTATTACGGAGGGAAATACACACACACTCCAAGGGGCTATGGAAATTGAGAGGTGAATAGAAAGTCCTTTTGTCAGGGGTTGAGTAGTGGGTATGGAAAGGCTTAACGGAGGAGACATTTAAACACACATATGCGGATAGATTTGGATAGAAAGATGTGGGAAATGTCACTCCAGCCATAAACAGTATGTTATGTCATTATATATATCATCTTAATCTTTATATCTTTATTCCCATTATTTCAATAAGTCTATAAAATATATATGTTAGCCAGCTAATGATCTTGTCTTATTTCAGTGAACAACGTGGGCATCTCATACGAGTATCCTGAATACTTTTTGGACATTCCTGACCTGGACAATGTGAGTCTTTCTTTGTACATATTATGGTAACGGAAAGAGGCACGCAGGGTTGGTGAGGCAATATGGTGTGAGGGTTCAGGCTGTGAGCGCTGGAGTCCAGGGCCCGAGGCGCACACCCTGGCTCTTGGGTTTGCTGCCTGAGTTACCCTGGGGCTGATTCCAACCATATTTAGTCTCCGATCCCTCATCCATAAAATAGGCAACTTGACAGGGATGTTAGAAGGATTGAATGAGAAAATATTGATAGCCTCCTTTGTGCAATGTCGGGTTCAATAATAGCTCTAGTTTTATTACTCTTATTTTTGTTCCATCAAAACAGCTCTGTTTTAAGTATCAGGATTCTAAATATCAATTGAAAAATCACAGATACATTAATATAGAGCAATATCGTTGATTCAGGTAAACCAGCTCTAACAAAATGAAAGTTAGATCCTTGATGCGGGCATGATTCTTTAATAAAACTAGAAAAGCATGTCATTGAAGGAATATGTAAATTTTAAAAAGTTGTTGAAAATCTTAGATTCAACAATTTCTCCTTTCCCTATTAGCAGAGAGGAAATTGCGTATTTAGTTTAGATTTAGTGTGTCTTTTTGCTTCCAGATTTTACTTGCCCTTATACCTGGGATTTTGCATGTTAGCATGAATTGCTGCTTTTGATAGAGAGTGAAATAAAATCTGCGTCTCCACCCCAACTCCTATCGTTTTCCAGGCTCTCTAGTGTATCTGGGGGAACTTTTCAATGTGTCTCTAGATCACTTATATATGTAGCTAATATGGTTACTTCCATAATCAAATCAATATAAAGTTATCAATATTTTTTTTGCAGACCATCAAGAAACTGATAAATATTAATGTTCTTTCTGTTTGTAAGGTAAGCAGCTTCTTTATAAATGTGTCATCTTTTTTTGGTTCTTTCTATGTAAAACACTGACATAATCAGTTCATTTGCTCAGTCAACTCTTGTTTTGATAAAGTATGTATTCCAGATGAAGGCGGTCTCTTTCCTTATGTCTTCCGGAAGTAGAAAGAGCTGAACAACAAACAGATGACTGTATGATTTTGGTTTTTAACAACTGAACATTTATTAAATGCCTCCTTTATGCCAACAGGATGGTAGACCCTGGGACTATACAAAGTAATTTAGACTGAAGATTGATTTTTACAAAGTTTTCACCTACCTGTAATTCATCACTGATAAATTGTTTCTTTTTGTATCCCCTGTGATACGTGTAAGATTTAACTCAAAATGTTGTGGTAAAGTATTGTATGGGGAGTATGGGACCATAAAGTAATGAGAGTGATTATTTTACCTAAAAACTACTCTGCTTTCTAATTGCTAGGCATGCGTTATAGCCGTGTCGCTTGTATATGCTGACAGAAGACACCACTGCTGATGTATGCTAAAGGAAGAATAGTGAGCAGATATCGGCATTAGAGCACCATTTCTGCTTATGTTTTAACAGTAACTGCAATAAGATACCATACCTCGGTTATACACACCTGACCAAGCAGAAAATGTTGCCTGAGGCAGAATTTCCACGGGCAACATCACATCCTTAATTTAAATGTGAACATACTGATGGAAAAGTCAAATCCATTTTCGATCACCCTTATGGACTAGTTTAAGGAAACCAAAAAATATTTATCTCAAAACTATTAGAATTGACCAGATAAATATAAATAAGAATTTAATTGCCTAGTCTTGATCTTTTTCTCTCTTGTAAATGTTTAAAGAAAAAGTCTCCTGGGATCTTCGTGTTCTGAGCAGTCATAACCCTTTCCTGGTTGATTTCAAGTGCAAGGACACTGAAACGTTCTGCCTTGTCCAGCTTTCCATGTGTGGCTGTGCCTCTTCCTGTGTGATATATATGTTGCTTTTAAAGTGTTTGGTTAATTCAGTTTTTATATGATTTTACATGATTTTAGCAATATGACTGATTAAACCAGCTCTTCCAAAATGGAGCTCCACTGTTGATGCATACATGCCACGTAACAGTTAGTACCTTGCTACTTAAGGGCAACTCAAATGAATTATATTGTAATATGACAAATAATTTTGTCAAACAAGTGATCACTGTGTCTTTTCCATTGTTGTTGTTATCCAAGGCTTTTTCTCACGTAAGATTCAGTTTAAGTGAGGCAAACTAGTAAAAAGTGGATCTGTGAGTAGATTTGGACCAAGACCCACACACACAAAATTGTTGCTTTTAAAACATGGTTAATATGAATATATCTATATAGTTTCAAAGGTATTCCCCTTGGCATACTATATAAATGTAATCATTCTTCAATAATCTGTATGAGGTTTCAAGTTGATTAAATAACTCCACCATTTACTAGTTAGATGACCTTGAGCAAATTACTTTCCTTCTCTGCTTCAGTTTTTCATCTGTAAATTGAAGATGATAGTTCTCTTTACCTCACAGAATTGTACTGGGAATTAAATGAGGTAATATGTGCAAACCTCTTAGACTAGTGCCCGGATCATAGTAAGGCCTCCAAAAAAGGTTGCTATTATTTTGTTAAACTCAGAGCTGATAAAGTTTTTAGTAAATATGTGCAACTATGACTTTACTTTTTAGCAAGCAGAGTTTTTTTTTTTTCCCTCCCGAAGCCCCCTGGTACATAGTTGTGTATTTTTAGCTGTGGGTCCTTCTAGTTGTGGCATGTGGGATGCCGCCTCAGCATGGCTTGTTGAGCAGTGCCGTGTCCGTGCCCAGGATTCGAACCGGCGAAACCCTTGGCTGCTAGAGCAGAGTGCGCGAACTTAACCACTCGGCCATGGGGCCGGCCCCACAAGCAAAGTTTTTTGATCAAAATTAGTCTCCTTCTAGTCTCTAATTTATATATTTTGTAGTTTTGTCTTTTGAAATCACTGACGTATACTGTTGTTTTGATGATCTTTTCGAGTACATTTGCCCAAATGCTTAAAAATAATGAGTGTTAAAAGTATATACTTGTTTCATAATATATTGTAGTGAGTGAATGATGAAAAACATGTTCAAGTGTTTAAATGTTATTTTATAGAATTGTTAATTCTACCTACAAATTCGTCTCCTGATAATTTGAACTCCTCTGTCAGATAAACTCTGTAAGGTTTTTACTCTACGTACATTAGTATCTTCTCCTGTGACCTCCTGCTTGTCAGCACTTACGTGTTTGGATACCCTCAGAGTAGAAATCTCTGGCCTCTTCTGTCTCCCCAAACATGGCTTTTTGGGTGGCGGTCTACAGGATACTAAGGGTGAAGGCCAAGGTCTTGACCTTGATCTGTGCGAACCAGTCAGCTTGCTGTGCTGCACGTTGCACACCACATCCTTCGAGCAGCCTCTGAGCACACGGATCGCCGTGTGCTGGTGTATTCACCTCGCGTCCCTGCCTCCAGATGAGGAGCGCAGGGGGCAAACAAGGATACAGCAGCACAAGTCCAACAGCACTGTAGAGTGCCTTCCAGTGTTTTTCAAATAATGCTGAAATAATAATGAGGCACCAGTCCTAATATCTTGACAAATTATAAATTGCTTCCCCCACCTCTTCGGTCTTCCTCTTCCACTTTCCTTTTTCACGGGGGCATATGTACTTGTTCCCATGAAATGAGTTAGTGGAGACAAATGCTAACTTACTAAACGTATCATATCATATATCATATTGTGAACCATATTGTTAGGAAATGTCACCAGCAGAGGAACTGATTATATGCTTAAAATTTTCGTATGCAAATCTTTTTTTCAAGTCAAATCCCATTTACAAAGCACCAAGGGAGTTTGCTTTTTAAAACACTTAAGCTAAATAATCATCCTTTAATTTATCCTTCGTGTGAAGATGAATTTTCCTCTACTTTTGTGATATGCCCTTTTAGTGGAAAAACAATTCAAAACTCTTGATTTATGCATCGTGGAATTAATAACATCTGGAGGACAGCCAGTTTGTCTTTGTTGTGCTGTGGGCAGGATCAGGGTATTATCATCTCCGTGGCGCAGTTGACTAGTGACCATTCAGGTATGAAAATGGTTTGACTCCAGCAGCAGGAGGCGAGTGGTGTGTAGGGGCGAGCCAGAAGGCCGGAGAAGTTAGGGCGTGATTGTGCAGGAACTGAAGTGCTGTGCTCAAGAGGATGGAGAGCCATAGAAAGCCTTCGAGCAGAAGTGAGGTGTGTGATCTGATGTACATTTCAGAAAGGCCGTTCTAGTGGCAGAGCGACGTGGCAATATGTATTTTGTCGTATATGCGTTTATGTTATTTATACTGAGAAAAGGGCATTCACCTTGGTGAAGTTCTGTGCATGACGCACCTGGGTTAGTGTTCTTTCGTGCTGCTGTGACGTGCCCTATGGCGCATTTTGATGAGTTGTACCTATTGTCCTTTAGTGGACTGTGTTATGTTGCCAGGGCCAGGGCTACATTTTCAGTAGCAATGGCTGTTTGGAGCCCTGGGGTAACTTAAAAGAAGATGAAGCTTGGTCTGGCTCTAGACTCTTACCAGGTTTTATGGTGGCTGGACACAGGGAAACTAGGGCATGGATGTCTGCAGCCTAATGCCACCAGAAATGTATCAAAAAAGGCTTATGTTAGACGGAGGACAACCTCTTCTCACCATCAGTGTTGGTCTAAGTTTTATCTCCTCACCAAACCACGTGATGGGGGATAACTGACTGAGAAGTGTGCCAGGACGGACTGGAGAAATCAGCTTGCCTTGGTGACCCTGGGCTTGTGCCCTAATTTGGAGACATTTGCTGAGTAGGGCTTCAGCATCTTGTTCTAAGTCCTGTGCTACACCACGAGCACTGAATGGCTTGGCTCTACATTCCTTCAGGTCCAGAATGATTGCTGGGTCCGTGTGCTCCTGTCCTATATCAGTAGGTCAGATGATTATAGAAATCCCCTAAGTCCCACGTTCCAATAGAGGAATAATAAAGTGAAATATCCTGACCAAAAGAATTGTGCCATCACCAGATGCAGTAGCGGTGAGAGGTCCAGAAAAATATTGGGGAAGAAATATTAACCAGAATGGTCGTGACTATAGACCCCAGATGTTTAATCACGGAATCCAGTCTCCCCGGCTATTATCTCTCCAGTTCCATCTGATTATTTCACTTTTCACCTTATCTAATAATTTAGGTTTATTCCTTTATGCCCTTTCAGTGAGTTGCTTAATGGGGCTTTCCCGTTACCAGGCTTAATACTGTTAGTTGAGGTAACCCAAGGGGTGTTTAGAAGTCTTATTGCATGCTTCATAGTTTTGCTCTCAAATCCTTCAGGACTGAATTTGGTCTTGGTCTTGGTCTTCATCTTGTTCCCTGCAGAGCAGGTAAGTGCCAAGGTGGGAAGAGCAGTGGTGTGGAAATTCTATCCAGGTGAGCAATATGGCGGGTAGATTGGCCTTAAACTGGAAGTGAGGTCCTACTAGCCAGGGCTTTTTTCTTGTGATTTCAAATGCTCTGTGACTAAAATCTAAGGTAACGCTGATTTCTCCTCAAGAATGATGGTCTTCAGACCAGAAATGGTGGAGTTTAGAGATAATTAAACCTCCAGATACTGAACCCCACTCTTCTAAAATATTTCCAGTTTCTGCCTGGAGGGGTTTCCATCTCAGAACACCGAGAGTTTGCAGATGATATTGTTATTCTGCTACTGGTTAGTATTAGAGAAATCATGGAAAATGGTGGAAGGGCCACGACTCCAGAGACAGGTAAATACAAATCTGGTTTCAAACAGGTCGTACACTGAGCTCGACACCAGTCAACACAAATTCTACAACAGATCTCGTGTTGTTCGTTTCTGATTTGACATCACTTGTTTTAACGTCTGCCGGATTTGGAGTTGGCCTTCCTTCTCTGGCCTGGGCTCGATTACTTTAATGAGTTTTAGGACC